TATTTTGAAAAGTTATTATAACTTTTTAAAAAATAAGGCCGCTAAGTTGTAATAAATTGATTTAGCTACAAAATAGCAGCTTCCTTTTTAAAATATCTTTTTTAGATCAAAAGTTATTGGCTTTTAAAGTTTGTGTAGTCTTTAAATGTCGTGCACTGTATATAAAATAATTTTTACCCGGTTATATTAATTTAAATATTCTTTTAATGATTTTTAAATTTTAAAAATCTTTCAATATAATAAAGATTTTTTATTTTAAATATAAACTTTACTATATTAGGAGTTTTTGATATAGTGAATATCTTGATATATTGAAAAAAATTCTTTAGCCCAATAACTTCACTATAACAAGAGCATTATGATCTCTACCTATCCTCAAATTTAGAGATGCAATCCGTTATCTGTTTTCGGCCTGAATTAAGCTTAATTTAGGCCAAAAGCAGATAACGGATCGTATCTCAAATTACATAAATCGCATGTAAATATTTTCGATTCGTAGATGCTTTTATTAATCTTGTTCACATGTTTTTGATGTATATACCTCGTTACATTTTATTAGTTCGACGTCAGGATATTCTTGGATCTTTTTTTTTGTTCGAGAAATATTTTAAACTTGTAATGTGATAATGTTAACATGGCATGCGCGACTTTGGAGTTTTTTTTTGGTATTTACCGCTTTTTGGGTTTCAAAATATGAAGGCAGAATTCTTGAGTAATTGTTGCATAAATATTTATTCAGTTTTTTATGACAATTATTAATTATATTTTGGATTTTTATAATTATGCATTTTATTTTGTTTTTTTTAATTTTTTTTTATATTTTTTAGAGTGGTTTTTAGAAAAAAAAAAATATGCATTTAAAGACTGTTAAATTATTTAAATATATTTTTTAATTAATTAATTTTTGGCCAATCAGAACACAAGAAATCACAAAGGCAATATGAAATTTTTGAAAATGGAACAAATGTAGTCTTTAAGTGTCGTGCACTGTATAAATATCGAGAGTAAATTTATTATAAATGTTTTGTATTTTTTTTAAAAAAAACCTTTTCTATATCTTATATCGAGAGTTTATTATTAAACATTATATCAAGTTATATAAATATTAATAGTTCTGGTTTTGTTCCGAAAAAAATCTTCACTACAAGCCAATCTTCACTATATCACTATAACAAGAGTGACTTGCATTTTGTTAAAACATTTAATATAGTTTTAACACAGGGAGCTATAATCCTGCCAAGTTCATTTACCAATTTTTCGTAGGGCGCTGGATGTAATCAAATTTCATAATGCTGGCCAAATTCTAAATCACGTGAATTCCTTTGTAAAAATGTTATTTATGCAAATAGCTAATATGATGAAACTCTTTATTTGCACAATAAAAAGTTTAAACATGTTATATGCATCTTTAACTAAAATGAAAATGAATCCTTCAAATGAAAATTAAAATGTATACAAATTCTATGTTACCACCTCAATATACGAACGACTATCTAAAGGATTTAGGATCATATGCTATTCAAAAGGTACCTTTTACAATTAGTTTTATGTAATACATTTTTAACTAAGCAAATTTTAAAATATAATACTTGCCTTTTTCATCTATTAACGCGCCTAAATTTTCACTGTCAGTAACCCATGACGAACGCACAGAACAAGGAATCGATTCATTCTGACGTCTATAATAGATAGTACAAAGCTTAGTATATCGATTTAGTTTCAGAGCAGATAACGTAATAGTTACCCTTTGTAACGTTTTTTGATAGCATCGACTCGACTTAAATCCCTTTCATCAAAGATCACATGGGTTATATTAGGTGAATATAAGTTATCAGTAACTTGAGCGTCTTGATAACGAAGAATCAATTCAATAAGTTTCAATCTACGAACAGTAAAAAGTCGGTAAAATCAAGTATAATATTAATAATAAATCATAATAATGAATGAAGTCCTCACCTATCACGACAACCTTCTTGTAATGCCCATAAATCATCTATCACTGAACCCTCTCTAAGAGGCGGATAATCAATGTATACTACGCAACGTCTGAAGATAGCATTTGGTAAACCCGTATCATCAAAATAACGACTTTCTATTTCATCATTTAGTCGACGACGTTTGCCATCTTCGTGTATTCCTTCCTCGACAGGATTAAGATTAAAGATCTAAATAGAATAAAAATAAAATGAATTGATATATCAAATAATAGTATTTTATACAACAATAGCGGACCAACCTCTTTCAAGGTATCTATATCGACTTTTTCTGTATAGCTGTCACCAAATTGGTCCATTCTTGTGCTGAATTCATGTGATGTAGCATCGGTAATGAATAACATGTATCTAATAATTCGATAAAAATCGATTGTAGCATTAGAGTACGCCATTGCTAAATCTATATATTTAAATTTACACGTTGCGAGAATATAGAAATTACTACTACCTTGGACTCAACGGTATGGCACGATGCGCACTAATAGATTCTTCGATCCATCGCGGGTGTACAATATCATGTTGTCCAGCTTCTGCAAGCTTACGGATTCGAAAATCTTATTTACCAAATAATTATACGAATTTAATTAAAAAAAAGTTTTAATTAACAGGGTATATAAGGAAAAAAAAAATTAAGAATACTTGATAGAGATTCGGCAATAATATATAAATTTGGAGAGGCATCAGGATGTTGGAAAAATTCACCACCATGTTCTTTAATAATACGCTCCAGATCTGACTTTGTGAAACTTTTATATTTAGTCACCATAACATCTTATCATAAAAGATATTATTAGCTATTGTCGAATTTAAGTAGACTAACTATAAACGAATATTTTATTACAGAATTTCATATTAATAAATATCCGGGATTTTTTTTCAATTGGGCCACTCTGATAAGTGTACGTTTCAAGCAGAGTGGATCGTCTAACCTATTATATATATAAAAAAAAAACAATGTTACCACAATTTATTTGGAGGGATGAGGTTAAATTTAAATATAGTACCCTCTGTGGTGCCCTGATTTTCCTCTTTGTTGATCTTGAAGTTGTCCTTTTTGAAAAATGTAAATTAACTATCATGTGTACAAAAAAAAGTAAAGAATACCAAAATGCGATAAAAAAGAAACTTACATTAAGTCATCTATAGTCACTTTCTTATGTTGTAGACGTCCTGCTGTTTCTTTTTTGATGTGCATCATCTCTTTAGGAAGCAATAAAAGTGTAAATATTACATTCGATGTTAAGAATTTGAAAAATAAGTGTCCCGAAGGAAAACCAGGAAGTCTGAATGTAGAATAATATTTATTTGATAGTAATTCATATTTAGACTTTCAGGTTTTCACTTGGCAATAGTCAATTTATAAAACCTTGCATGCTAGCGGCAGAACTCCAATCCTTATCTGGGCGAAGTTTTTCAAATCGAGCAAACCGAAGGGTGAAACCAGTCGCAAAATCATCTTTAATACAGAAGGTTGCAAAGTTAAATCAGATACGAATATCTCGCAATAATTAACCTCAAAAACAATAATAACTGATGCTTCATAATTACTTGTAGGTACTATTTCAGATGCTCTCACTTGAGCTACAACTGACCTTAAAATCATGACAAGAAATTAACATAATTTAAATTCAATTTACAATTCATGAATATTAATCATACTTTTCCGGATGAATTATCATATGTGGTTTATCACGACCGATTATAAGCCAATCTGGTATTCGATTAGGGTCAAAAGGTTCCCAACCTTCTAATGATCTACATGAAGTTAATAAATATATATCATGAAACCAAGACAAAAAAAGATAAGAGATAAAAGCGTGAAAAAACAAAATATTAGATTTACTTACTTTAATTCTTCATTTTCTTTCATTGTGAACCCAGTACCAAAGCGACCAAATGATAATATTCTTGATTTATAAAAAAATTATTTAAATTTCGTCAACATTCAATTTACTTTTTTTTATAATAACTTTGGCAACACAAACCTAATTTCATTGTTAACTGTTTTAGAATCTCTTAATCCGCACAGAAAACTTCCAAACATACTGCCTCTTTTTCCTTGGCCGTAATCAGCACCTTAAAAAATTATTTAATATAAATTACTTTGGTGCTAAAAAATATTTAATAACACGCTTACCAATAACAATCAAATCAAGGTCATCTCCAAGTGTATCCAAATATTCAGGCTTGATCTTAATCCAATCATCAACACGTTCATTGAGAATATAAGTACTAGAAGGTTTTTTGATTATAATCCCTTCTTTTCTATATATTCAGAAAGATTAATAATTACATTCTAAAGTTATTTATTAAAAAATAATATATACACCTTCGCATAACGGCATCATCCATAGCTTCAGTCAAATCTTTCATAGAGTTTCCTACTTTGTGAGGAATGACCTGGATATAACCTGGTTTATCTGTAATCAAATCTTTTAGAAATCCGCGCCGCTTTTCCAAAGTGTAATTAGCAAGTGACTTTCCGTTGAGTAGCACGATATCAAAAACCAAAACTGTCAAACAAAAATGATGTTAAGAAATAATAGTCAATGAACAATATAAAAGGTGATAATGACTGTCAAGGATACAGCATGGCCGACTTTTATGTTCATCATCGGATTTATCTTAAATGATCAAGAAGGTAAAAATATTTTTAAGTTATTGAAAGTTAGCGTACATGACAAAATTGTTTCCACAAACCATTGCAGACAGTTTTCAATGATCCAAAAGGTTGATAGAGATCTAAAGCAGGATCATATGTAATCATCTCTCCATCGAGTATAATTCTAATAGATAATGAACAATATTAATTATACATAATTATAATTATGTAATGCCATTATAATTAAACATAGATAATTACTCTTGGACACCTTCACGAAAACAGGAATATATATGTTTTGTTAAGGCACCTTCATACATGTTAGAGCCATACATATATGTATATTGCGTAGCTTTCCTGGAATTGTAGAAATAGGTTAAAAATATGAAATTGTTAATGAGATAATAAAAAAGAATTTAAATTCTTGCCTTGAATAATATTCAAATCTTCCATTTTTCATGTGCAATTGAATTCTTTCACCATCAATTTTTTCTTCAATCCAAAAATCACCACTCATTGTCTTAAGAATATTTTGAACAGCAACAGATTTGGAAAGCATTGGCTTGAATGGACGAAATATGGAGATTTCCTAATCAAATATATAATAGTAAAAATGTCGCAAGTTATATTAAGTGAACCAGAAAATAAATTACGGAAAAATATAGAATCTCTTACAGAATCAGTAAATCTCTTAAAAGGATCTTGTAGTTCGGAACAAACTTTTCTCAGATCGCTGCATACATTAAAAAGAGATGAAGCATCAGGATGAAAGATGGAAAATATAGTCTTTTCACTCATGCCAATTTTAAGTTCTAAAAACAATAGCATATGTATATAAGATAAAATGAACGAAATTTTTTGTAAAACAAAAAAAAAAAGTATGTCTTTAATTGCTAAGGACCTTTTAGGATGATACGAATAATCCATTTTTGTTCTATGGCAGTACATTTAGTAAAGAAATGGCGAATTATGATACGTGATTCACTTCTAATTTAAACAAAAATATAATATTATTGATCACATTCACCATACGTGCAATAGCTAAATAAATTCAACTCACTGGCCACTAGAAGCATTCAACGTATCAAGCTGCTGATTTACATCATCAATTGACATTGATCCTTGACTAACAACAGTGGATCGAGGAGCAATAACTTCAAAAGCAATAGAAGCAAAGTCACCCGCAGTTTTCTACGTAAGGCGATAAAATTAATCAAAAATTAATCAAAAATTAATCAATTAAAGTATCACGTATATATACTTATTTGTAAAAAAAAAAACGTACATTTTTGTTACTTCCGGGCATTTTCCAATGCAATAACCGTTCAGCATGGGGAGAATCCTTCGACAAGCCCAAGACGTTTATATAGGTTTTAGCAAGAATATTTTCTTTCATGCCATATGATGTTCTTTCAGTATCCAGCTAAATAAAATATTTTACTAATTCTCACAAACACATTCCAGCAAAGATAATGAACAAGATCTGAAGTATTTGCAAATGTTACGTGTGGAAGAAGTAAACGCATAAGAGGGTAGAAATCATTTCCGCATTTAGCCCGCCAGTTCTGGAGAAACATATAAGCAAGTTAAAAATATCTGATAACCAAATTTTTTTAATATTTTCAAAGAAAGATATTTCTCTTCTCACATGGAAGAATTTTTGTAGCTTTTTCTTTTTTGCATCACCTTTTGCTCTTGAAACAATTTCTAGAAACCGACAGAATTCGCTAAACGAAGAAGAATCAAACGTAGTTTGCTGACTTGAACTACTTTGACTTCCTATATCAAATTGAGAAGCCATATTTTTTGGACATTCATGATCAGGAGACTATTCTAGATCTTAACCAATTATGTCGAGATTTTAATTAGTTTTCTAAATTTATCAGGTTGATTTACCCGCCTAAAAATCATGGATCTCCCCGATCAATAACAGGAGATATTTAATCGTGCGACATTCCCCGTGTGACATTAATTATCACATCTTTTAATAGATTCATTTTTAATACGTGGATTCATTTGGTGAAATATAAGAAACATGTATTGCAAATGACATTAATAATACTATATAACTATATTGGTCTAATACTAGATTTTAAGATAGATGATCTTGTGTACGGTATACAGTATGGAATACAGTATGTACATATTAGGATACTTAAGATCTGAATTCAGCGACAACGATAATTGAACATTGAACAATTTTGCAATTGTTCGTTTAGTAAATATGGCATCATATGACATGGATAACATGGATACAAATACTTACAAATGTAATGCCTGCAGCAATGCTTTTAGTATAATCATGTGACTGGCATTATCTAAAAGCCAATTTAAGATAGCTACAAAGTTAGCGAGAATAGAGATGCGTTAAAACTTTGTAATATTGATTATTTAACATCATTAATGTTAATAATGCTTTAGCGCATATACGTGTGTAATTCATAATAACAACTGGGATAGTTGTAGTTAATGTTACATAACATCGATACCACAATGCTGCAATTTTTATTGGTAATTTAAATATCCTATCACAACTTGATTTAGTAATTCATAATATATAGTAATATATATTAATACGAATACAGAAAACATATAGTAATATATTAAATACGTGTACGTTCAGAAATTATTCCCAATATTTAGATCATTTGGCTTAGCACCTAATGTAATTTTGATTAATCATCATTTAAGAATTTTTGAATTTGTGCAATAATGAATAATATTTCAACAAAAACCAGGGAATTTGTAATATTATATAACATTATATAACATTATATAACACTATTTGGTACTTTATGTATGATTACGTCACTGTTAACAATTCCAAATCAGATTAATGCGTTAGAAGTTAAAGTAACTTCCGGATAAATAATAAATTGAAGTGAAACTAGTGAAACTCCATAATTTGAGTCGTCACACCGCAAGTACTTGTGTGGCGTATTCTCGTACACCAAGCTTGGAATTGTCATCCATTTGTGCTTTTTAAAGTATAAATACCCCCCCCCCCCCGTTTCCCACTTTAATGTAAAAAAAAATTCTCTCCGTTATATCAAGCAATATATTAAACAATATAATCCAAAATTTTCAAAATGCCGATCACCGTTCCTGAAGAACCTCTCGAACTTCATTTGAGACGTAAAATCCTTTTGGCTTATGATAATTCTGAATATAGCAAAGTTAGTTCCTTTTCAAACTTGATGTTTTTTGCCCAACCGTTATTTAATTTATTTATCTCGCCGTTCTTTTTGTATTTCCATAATTTACCTTAGGCCGTCTTCCAATATGCTTTGGATAATATCTTTGTTCCTAACAAGGACCATGTTGCTCTTGCTACCGTTGTTGACGAAGAACAATCTATGTGGTTATTGACTCATACCTCTAGAGCACAAAATGCCGGTATTTACTATCCATCTGGTTTAACGTGTTTTAAACTCTGTTTTTAAATGTTGAATTTATGACTTAATCATTTTTCACATAGAAAACATGAAAAGGAATAGGCGTTTATCGTTAACTGAACATTCAGAAGCTTCTGATATCTTGAAACCATTATCAGAAGACCTAGCAAGTAAAGGAGTAAGAAACCGTTACCCATTTTATCTCTTATTGATAATAATTGATAATATCTTTAATCTTTTCTCTAATTTTATACATTATATCTTTAGATCACTTCGAATTATTATATTTTGAAAGGTGATCCTAAAATCCAATTGGTCAAACTTTCTGAACACGCTCATGTAGACTTGGTCATTGTTGGCACACGAGGTCTTGGTTTACTTAAGCGGTAAATATTTATTTCGAATTTCGATGAACCATGATTCATCTGATTTTATGCTATTATCTAAACAACTTCAATCATAATAGTGGTCTTCTTGGGAGTGTTTCTGAATATATCGTACGCCATGCGGAATGTTCCGTTCTTGTAGTCAAACAAAAACCTGAGAAACCTAGAAGTCGTCCGGAATCTCCATCAGGCACCAGTTTCTCATCAACTGCCAGAAGAAGTCTTCAAGCACCGATTTCTTTGTTCAGAACCTTAACTAAATAAGCCCAAATATACAGTAATTCAGTTTATCTGTGTGATTAACTATTCAAAAAAAAAAAAAAAGGGGAAAAGCAAAAAAAGAAAAAAAAAAGGAGACCAAAAAAAGAAAATCGGGGCAACGAACTGCTATTGTAAATACCGTCCCGGTCCGATTTTTTTTTTACCTATGGGCCCGATATTTTAAAAAGGTTACCCAACAGGAAATTTCAAGACAACTAGACATTTGAATTGTCCGACAATTCTAAACTTTAATTTTTGTACTCCGGTTTCAGAATATGTATGCGTGTTTTTATAGTAATGATGCCGCAAACTATATTATTTAATCAACCATGGTCATTATTATATTTCTGAACTTTACACATATCCATTTTTTTTCATAACACTATTATTTTTTTGTTACAAAGAATAGCTTTGGTGAGGAAGATAATTATCATTAATTGTTCAAAATTTTATAATAATACATTAAAGATTTTATCCGTCTTTCGCAGACTGCCGTTTTTGATCATGTGATATGCAAAGCCTTTTCGCCAAACTACTAAAGATGGTTCTTTTTTCTTTTTCTATGAAGACTGTTTAGTCTCAAACTTGTGTCTCTAAAAACACCCACAGTCTGTTTCCTAACACATGATAATCAATTTATGTGCAGAATACTAATATTAAACGATTGTTTAGTTTTCTAAAAAGGAACAGTATTTCTATTTTCTGGAAATTTTTTTAAATTATCAATGCTATCGCAGGTCACTACACTCCATAAGGGGTACGTATGTACATAACGATAGACCTAGATATAAAGTGTATATTGTTTAAGTGTACCATATAAAGTTAAGCGATTTTGCATTTTCCAAATTCATTTCAAAAAAAAACAAGTTTTTGATTGATGATTGTCAAAATACAGAATATCAACTTGAATTGGAAAACTAGTGCAATGAACATTGATCAAGCGGAACACAATAAGTTTCAATAGCATCTATAGGATAGAAATTTGGCCCGGTATAAAATTTTGCCCATCCGTTTACTTAACTCTTATGTAGATAACAACTAGTTTATCTTAAATAACAAAACTACTTATGATTTAGATTGTTCCCAAGCAGCTAGCTCCCTCATTTCCCTCATTGTAATTTGCTAGTGATCTAGATGTTGCACAATTGTTTCGCTTAATTGAAAATTGTTCCCTATAACAATTTGGCAGAAAATTCATTCTTCGAAATGCGATTTTAGCCGATTAATGCAACTCTGAAAAAAAGATAGTTCTGTAGTTTCAGGTTCGGATTTGTTTTTGACTTAGAGTAAAGTTATTTGTCACATAAGTGACAACGGCTTATGCATCACCGAACCA